AGCGAATTATCAGAACTACTTCAGTAAGACTAATATCATGCTTTACCTGGAAACCTAAAGCTGCACTAGGTGTACATCACATATTAGCACAAAAACTTTATATTTTGAGCACTCAATTGAAAATGTACACATAACGTATCAATCGTACTTACAGGTTGTGGTTCGGAGAGCATGTTAGTCCAAATTAAGAAGATTAGAAGCCAACGAAGATAAAAGCCAAGATTAGAGAAGCAGTCCTTGGTAAAATGACATGCACACAACAAAAGGTTCGAATTGTATTTCTGTGGAATCCTTGAACACAGCGTCTTCTCAATGTGATATAAACACACTAACTAGCGGAAGTGTTTGTGGGCAGGTCAGACTCGCGGGCAGGCGGGGATTATGCAAATGTGTTACCCAGTGACGTATACCGGTAACAGGCAAAAGATTCGAAAATATGACGACTCTTTAAGGCGATTCAGAATCGACTCTCTCTTTTGAGAGACAATATCTTTTTTTATCATGCACTTTTTTGATTAACAACTTTGCAGATTGTTTTCATTTAAGGATAGCTACGTTATATACCGCAAAGAGATATTTTTCAAAAACCCATATGATCTGCTCTTTAAAAATAAGTTCTTACGTTAAAAATGAGGTGGATAAAGAATCTTTTGTGCAATCAATAGGTTTCACGGATGTTAAAGATTCTTAATGGAACCACATATGCCAATAAGTTCTTACGTTAAAAATAAGGTGGATAAAGAAACTTTTGTGCAATCGATAGGTTTCATGGATGTTAAAGATTCTTCATGGAACCACAGATGCCAATAAAGAACCGTTATTTTAAGACTGCACTAACAGTTTGTTGCATATAACATTTGACTTATGGACATTTATTTTGATAACTGCCTGCCAGAAGAGGATGGGATTTTCCCAGCTGATTCTGGTTCCTTATATATTTTCAGTTTTTCTTTGTCATAGTCTCATTCGGCTTGCTCTAAGGCACTATTTTCAGTTTGAAACAATATGTTTTTTGAATAACAAAACTGACCTGACATGATTAATATTGTAGACATCGAAGCAACCTTATTCTCCGCACACCCCAAAATAAAGGAGAAAAAGCATGTTTAAGACACACTCATCAAAGAACGCTCTCTCATTCCTGCCCCCTCCCTTTATCCAATAATGCAGCGAGAAGGAACCATGTGGAGCCTATGTGGACAGGGATACAGGATTTGTGTATGTGTGTGCAGACACAGACATTTTGTGGGCGAACTGGAACAAAACCATATTGAAGTACTCAATACACAGAGCTGTAAGCCGGTGTAAAGGTTTTCTTTGGGATAGTCGTGTGGGGAGGGAGCTTCTTTTGTTTTTCGATTTCAGAGAGCATCTGCAATGTGTATCCTGGAAAACCTGCACCTGTTCGTTCCGTCTCTCTCCCATGAAATAGCTCTACATCTCTCTCCAATCCTACTGCAATCTTGCTGATGCAAGCAAAAAGAGGCTTTAATGATCCACATCCTCTTCCAAATGTTTAACACTCTTAAATACGTAAAGGAATATAAGCAAAACCACAAATCTGATAATGTATCTACACCTTCTCTGTGTTTCTTGGGTCCAGTATAGATTGAACATATATACGGATAGCTGACATGAAATAGTTTTGCATGTTCTATAATGTAACATGCTGAACTCTCAAAAAAAACAAAAAAAAAACACACTTTGCTCATTTTTTAAACTCTTATGGCCTCATATTAAAGCAACTGTATGTAGTTTTGTGTATTTTTGCAACTTTGGAGCCCCCTACATTTGTGATTGTAATTCTCTCGTAAACACACACCACTGTCCTACAGTGGATAGCTGTTACACATGCATTTGTTCCTGCCAAAGCAATCTGTCCTTTTAGTGGAATTTTGTACCCACTTACCAAACTTACATTCTCAAAGAACAGACAATAGTGGGGGAAAAAAGACAGAAAACATTCACCTTATTAGAATAAGTCAGTGTACCATCAGAATGAATTTGAAACTGATATTTTACATTTAAAATTGTTTTAACTGAAAAACAATGTGGAATATTTGGACTTTTAAAAATTAAAGTTGTCACTCCACTGGACTATTTCGGATGAAAGCACAAGGGTGATGAAAATTGTGGAATTTTAACCGAACCTTTCATATTTTTGTATTAATTCTACAAAAGAAGAAGTAACCGTCACAAAAATCAGAGTACACTGCCCTCTAGAGGTCAAATAGGGTCAAACTCTGTGGCTCTTTGGCTCTTTGGCTCATTCTTGGGACCAAGGGAAGGGTTAAAGGTTTTACAGATTGCATGGCCACTTTAGCCCCTACTGGTAGACACAGTAACTACACAAGTAGCTAGCAAAAGCCATCCTTTCTTATCATTCAGAAATCATCATTCATCATTAATATCCATTCCAGAGTATTTGTTCTAGATTTTTTTTTATTGCAAGTATTTAATTCTATTACATTATATACTGTAAGTTACCAGAGACTAATTTGTTTGGGCTCTTTAAAACATGAAATGGTCTTATTGGACATATATGAACATATTTGTCTCTTTTTGGTGCGATTACCATTGTCTTGCATCCTAATCCTGTGAAATAAAACAAATAACAAAAAAGAAACTGAACAATCAAACAAACAGAAAACGTGAACTTCCAGTAAGAAGATTAAAGTGTATTCATGCCGGATGCAGCACTGGAAGACAATTCATCTTCAATTTATTCATTAACCATGTCAATATTCCATTAACCAAGGTTTTTTTAATTCATGATATGACCATTTAAACGCAGTAACTTATGCATGATACATGAAAGGATCTCAAAAGGGTTGTGATGCAACTATCTGAAATGTACTCTCTTCACACTGAGCAAACTCCCACACAAATGCTGTTCATAGAGCGTATGTTTAAAATTTCAAGTTGTCTTTAACACTGATTATCTTTCAAGGAATGTTATAACATTTCAAGAAATATTATAAATAATACATGTAGTGGATCATGTTTGTAAAGTATCTTAATTGTTTTTAAAATCGGTAATGCTTCCTAGATTTGAACAAATACACTACAGACTTTTACAAATAATGCTCATAAAGGCTGTTTATGTGTATGTCGATCAAAAATACTGTAAAGTAGTAAAAGTTTTAAATAAATGTGTTCTATTGTATTATATTTTAATGAAATTTATTCTTGTAATGCAAACAGCCAAAAAAAGCAGCCATTTACTCCAGTCTTCAGTCTCACATGATGCTTCAGAAATTACCAGATTACCAGAGATCCATCATTTTTAAGATTACAAGAATTTATAATCAATTTAATGCATTCTTTAAAAATAAAATAAAATCTTACTGATTCTAAACTGAACAGTATGGTAACTAACCTTAAATATTAAATTAACCTGGAAGATGTTAAAAAAATCTACAACGTATCTAACAACTGTAAATTGATGTTTATATTTAAATGTTACTGTTTTGGTAACTTAATACTAATTTTTTATATTGCGCCTGGTATTGCTTATGGCTCTGCATTCTGGTGAGATAGCTAAGGATCTGTATCAACAACCCCAAATTTAATGCTTTATATTACACTCTAGTATAATATTGCTCTATATTCTAATGAGAATTAATTATATGTAAGTTTACCTTTAGTACCAGTATAACAAATGAGATTTCCCCTTGTGTGAGAACTACACCATCAGTAGAAAACTACAGTCAGGTGTACAGCGTGATCATAGGCTTTAGCAGGGGAGCAGGTAGTGGCTTATAGCTGATTGTGGCAGTTCTCAGCCGGTGGCGAGGTCTATGGGAAGACTTTCGGTGCATTTCAGAACTCTTAATTGATGCTTCCTTATTTCCTCTAGGCCGTAACCTGGAAATCAATCAAAGTGTGCTGCCATGATAGACATATCAATTCTCTAAAAGAGGAGGTGAGGACAGAAAGGAAGCTTCCAGGAGAGAGGAAACACACCATCATATCTGGAATATATTGTTGACATGTCTGTTGTCATAACACAAATTTTCATCACCCTTCACATATAGCATAACAGTTTTACAGTTATATTTTAAATAAACCATATTTCACATATCTCAGTAGTGCATCTTTCTTTATTCAGATTTATTAATAATGTTATGGTTTGCCAAGCCCTAATGGCAGATTCTTTGAACCTTTCAAAAATTAAGCTTTAAAATGCAAGGACACTCCATTTTGTAAAGACATATTGCTTTTTTCCACCCTCGTATTTCATCATTGATGCTAAATTCTTGAAGTAGTACATATACAGTCTTGTTCCTCAAACATATTGTAACATATCAGATGACATATCTGTCATATATGCCTCTCTTATTCCTTTGTAAGTGTGATGAATGAGGGTGGTATGGAAGCCCGTTTCCGCCACTGAATTGAAAAAAAAAATTTTATTGCGACTTTTTATCTCACAAATCTGACTTTATTCTGAGAATTGTGAGATATAAACTTGCAATTGCGAGTTATAAAGTCATAATTGCGAGATATAAACTCACAATTCTGACTTTTTTTCTCAGAATTGCGTGATATACACTCACAATTGCGAGAAAAAAAGTCAGAATTGCGAGTTTGTAACACAATTATGAGAGAAAAAAAAATCAGAATTGTGAGATAAAAAGTCGCAATTACCTTTTTTTATTTTTTATTCAGTGGCGGAAACGGGCTTCCATAGGATGGGACAACACACACACACACACACACACACACACACACAAAACTGAAATGCTTTAATATGTAAATAAAAAAAACTATGAAGAATGTATATTAACCTTTCTTTCTTTCTTTCTTCAAAGTTGTAACAGCTATATGCCACGTGATTAAAAAAAATCTTAATCAAAAATCAAAACTTACTGACTATTTTAAAATGGCTTACGTTTTATTTATTTATTTATTTATATTTTTTGGCTTACGTTTTATTTATTTGACTACGTCTGTTATATGCAGATGACACGTGAACTCGAATGGACTTTGGAAGCAAACTCTGCCCAGAGCAGCACCATGCTTTTGATGTCATTACTGAATGCCTTGGATGTCAAGAGTTGTTTGGGACTTCTTCTCATATCGTTACTAATTTTTGATTTTTGGAAAAGTAAGAATGCGCCGAACTTTCCACCAGGACCATGGAGTTTTCCGTTTCTTGGCAACGTTTTCGTCGGTTTCGACTGTCGTGCGATGGATGAGGTACAAGTTTCAGTCTTATTTCTTTCACACACGTTAAAGAAGAGCTCACAGAGATGCTTTCTGAAGCCATGATGATATTATATTCTTAATGTCCATATATAAACCACAGAGTGGCGCAGTGTAACCGTGGGAACAGAAACGCTTTTGTCAGGATAGTGTTTATTTCAACACGAGCACTTGCAGTTGCGCTGGAAACAATTGTGTACAGACATAAATGGTGAAAACACTGATATATTTTTTTAATCTTTCAGTTAGTTTGTTAGATTGACTTCATAAGTGTTTTTGAAGTCATCATATAGGCATAGTATGGAGGACGAAACCTGTAAAAACAATAAATAAATAAATACACAAATAAATAAATAAATAAATGTGTGCATAAATACACGTATTCTTGTTTAAATACATAAATAAATAATTAAACGTGATTAAAGTAGGCAAATAAATCAAATAAATTGGTGGGCAAATGGAAAATGTTTAAGGAAATGCTAAACTCACTCAATTTATTTTCCTTTGATCACTCATTTTTTTCTGAATGTAGTTCCACATTTTTTCCCCCTCTGCGCAACATGCTAATGAGAGGGTGTCAATTATGCAAGAGCAGGCGGATCGTGTGTGACGCGCTTGAGCGTTTGCCTGCGTATTAGTATTAAAGGGGTCATATGATGCTTTTTTAAAGATCATTATTTTGTGTATTTGGTGTAACAGAATATGTTGACATGCTTTAATGTTCAAAAAACACATTATTTTTCAAATACTGTACATTATTGTAGGTCCTATATGCCCCGCCTCTCTCAAACGCTTCGTTTTCTACAAAGCCCCCTCCTTATATTTCCACATAGTGAGGTAGATATGTGGGGCCGTGTTAGAACGAGGCGTTTTAGGTAGGCGTGGCAGAGTCTTAACTTTGATAAAGAATATCTCTTTGGATTTGAGACTTTAGTCTTTGCAACTTTAGGGATCTTATCTATTCACAATCAGCTTGTAACACTCCAAAGAGAAAGGAAAGCTTGAAATCGCATCATATGACCCCTTTAATACCCCTTATGAAAAAGAAGTGCACTTAATTGTGTTTAATGTGCACTTATAGTTGTAGTCAAACCTTAAAAGTAAATTTTCAAGAATTGCACTTGCAGATAATATAATATTAATTAAATAAAAGGCCAATTAAGTGTACTTAAAGATAAACACTTTCATGATTGTTTCTTAACACATTTAAGTACGCTTAAAAGTTTCAAATTAAAAGTTTTACTTTAAAGTACATTTTAAATCATTGTTTTAGTCATTTTCCAGCTTTAAAGGAGTACACTTATTTTGATGTATTGACTAACATAAAGCATATGTACAGTACTTGATTATCATTTTAACTGCAGTGTTTTATACAACATTACATTTAAAGTTAATATATGTTAAATGTACTGATTTGCAATTTCGCCTTTACAAATATGTAACTACAAATATATTTAAATATATGACATGCGTTGAAATAGAATTGACATCAGTTTACATAAATACTTGTCATATTTGGCAGTACACTTTAACCATATTTCAAAGACAATAATAGTGATTATGAAATTACATCTGAAGATGCTTACTTATGTCCTATTAGGTAAAAAAAACAATTATATTAATTGCATTTAATATAAATTTTAACTATAATACATTTTCATTAATTGTAAATAACATGCAAACAACATGCATGTGTCTGAAAACATCACATTCAGCTCACACTTAATTATGTTCTATTAAAATACATTATTTCCGTAATAAGTACTCATTGTAAAAGTATGCTAAAGTATACTTCTTTTTCACAAAGGGACTTACTTCATAGATATGGACGTTTGGCCTTGCGCTGATCAAAATGCAAACTCTGGCATGGTATTACATATGTGACTGTAATTATATGAGTATTTTTTTCTCTGTTTCCTTTCACACAAGGGCACACTGGTCATCTGTAATCTTTCATCTGTGCTAAAGGATCCATCACAATGGGAAAAACCAGATCAGTTTTATCCTGAACACTTCCTGAACCAAAGGAATTTTAGGAAACGGGAAGCATTTTATCCATTTTCGGCAGGTAGACTTTCATTGTATTTCACTCACACTTACAAATGATGTTTTAATGTAAGATGACGTGTGCATGCATGTGTCCTGCCTTTACATTTGTCCAGGGAAAAGGTCATGTCTTGGTGAGCAGCTGGCACGAAATACACTCTTCCTCTTCTTCACTTCCCTCCTCCAGAGGTTCTCATTCTCAGCTCCTGAAGGACTAGGACCTCGCTTTAAGGACCAGGAACAGGTCAAGACGTCCCAAGAACCCTCCCAGATCTTTGTGTCATTACGTTGATAGAAACTATAGGAATCACATCTGAACTGATACTGAGTTCTATTAATAGATGGATGTTATGTTAATACATGCAGTAAAATGCAGTCAACATGCAGTACAGTGTTTAGATGAAATAATATATCTCTGCATATAAATCTCTTTATCTCTCTCTCTCTCTCTCTCTATCTGTCTATATATCGGTCTGTCTGTCTGTTTGATTCTGTTCAACATGAAAAAATTTATTTGATAGTGATGAAGTATTTGCAAGGACATATGCGTTATTAATATAATCATTATGTTTTTTTATGTTTAGACTGCAAAATGTTAATACAATGCAAATGTGAAAATTATGCTAAATTGTAGCATGTAATTTTAAGATCCACTTTATTCCCCAGAAACAAAGAATGAATAAATACCCTGTTGACTTATACACAGTAGATATTTTCCTGTATTTCAGTGATATTGTACAATTGCTATATATTTTGAAAATGATATCCCTTGTAAAGAGAACATCATTTTAAGATCAGTTTTGACACTGGGAAATAATAGGTGAGCGCAGCATTATAAACATCTGACAAGGTACATTATCACCACCAGATGGTAGTAGAGCAGCTCTTGAGACCAAACAAACTCTTAAGACCCCCTCTTTCTTTCGATTTACTTTTTAGCAACAGTAAGTTTCTTCCAAAAATGCAGATTCGTTGTGTTGTTAAAAGGCCAGATTCATTGCAGTCGCTCTCGTGACAGTACTGAAGCAAGATGATTTCTGCCCAAAGTGGACACAATCATGCTTTGTCGTGAAATCTGAGTTTTTGCTTTGAAAAATATTCTAGAATCGACTTATGTCGTTTGCTGAAGTTCATGTATCAGAGCGCTGCGTCGGAACTTTGGCAGCGGGCCGTTGGTTTCCTACTGCACGAAACCAACGCATAAAACACACATTTCACCTTGGACTAACTAAAGAAGAGTTTTTATTTTTTTTTATTATTGGTGTACTTTACGAGTTTAATGAATGTGCCATGCCGTTTGTGGAGTTCGTCGCAGGATGGATTTCAGGTAATTCTTAACTTTGGCGTTGGAATTCTTAACATGTCTGGTTGAAATAACGGGAAAACATAGCTAATAGATGACTTTGAATCAGCTCGGTTTTATCAGCCATTAACTGAGAAGTTATAAACAACACGGTTAGTACCATGAGATTCTTTACGACGCCCCTCATACCTCATACGTGTAAATACCATAGTGTATGAATATGTTGGTAGCTCAAGACAACAGGTAAATAAGAAAACATTTAGCTAATAGATTTCATCATACTTTCATCAGTTGATAACATTAAGACATTTTGTATTGCAAGTTATCTGAAATGTTATGATTAAATATGAAAATGTGGCATAATCTAATTAGATATGCACTAATTTGCATACATTTCCAGAAGAAAAATTTGACCATCGGATAAAGCCAGATTCGGCTTTCTTGGTTCATTTTGATGATATAAATAATAATAATGATAATAAAAGTCAAAAATAAAAATCACAGTGTTTGGTGAACTTTTGCCAATTCATCCCTTTGCAAAAAACCTTCAGAACAAATAGAAATAACTGTTAAAGTCCACATGAAATTAAAATTAAAGTTTTTTGGGTGTTAGTATCAATATGTTAGTCTTAAGGTTATCTATAAGGCAGTGTGCTCCAAAACAGTGAAAAAATTCGCATTTAGAAGATATAAGCATTCAAAGCTTGCAGTTCGTCACTTCCGCCAAAACGGCTCAACGATTTTTTTTTTGACGTCACATCGTACTTCCCACTCCTCTATGTCTACTTCTATCATCGCTTGGATTACAGCGTCACGCGCCTTATTTTTGAACGTGATTTTCTCCAATGAGGGGGAGGACGAGGGGGCGGAACATGTGGCAAATTAAGCTGCAGCACTTATATTATTGCACTGGTTGGCTATTAACTGTTGTGACGTCACGGACACTACGTCCAGGTTTTTATACAGTCTATGGTTTTTAAGCATTTCAGGGGACCTTTAAGTTTGGTGTATGCAAGGGGAGGGGGAGGGGGCTTTTAAGATATGTACTGTAAAGAGTGACAGACACAAATAGATAAAGTGTAATAAAATAATCACTTAAATGTGTATTTTATATTTTCTTTCCACTAGTCTTAAAAAAAAACAAGATATGGAAATATAGAACAAAAAATGTCAAAATTGAACAGTGCATGAAAAAACAATGGTTTTGCCTGTAATATATTGCCTTAAAGGGGTCATATGATGCAATTTCATTTTTTCCTTTCTCTTTGGAGTGTTACAAGCTCTTGGTGCATAAAGAAATCTGTAAAGTTGCAAAGACTAAAGTCTCAAATCCAAAGAGATATTCTTTATAAAAGTTAAGAGTCAGCCACACCTACCTAAAACGGCTCGTTCGAACACGCCCCCACATATCTACCTAACTGTGTGGGAAGATTTGCATAACGCCGCCCAAATGTTCACGCAAAGAAAGAAGGCGTAACTTTCATTCTCACTGTAGTATTGTTGTTCCCGCCGCCATGTCGTAAAGATGCTGTGTGCTT